CCCTAGGCAAAGAAAATTGGGGATGGCATGGGGCAAGTGCCCAGCAGGGGATCAGACTGGTTAGATGGATGGACCTGAGGTCAGAATGTTTCTGCTCAGGTCTGGAGTCCATACCGCTCTCTGCAAGCGGACAGCTCTGCCACGACTGTGAGTGCCACTACTGTGGGTGTCATCTTTTCAGTGAGTTTCCTTGTCAGACTCTCCTACTCACTAACAGAAAACAGATTATGGTGCCTCATTTGGAAAGTAGCTGACATTTGCCTTTTATAGCCCTGCCCGCCCTAGAGCTGGGAATGACCAGCTCTAGGTCATTAGAACCAGTGCTCAGCCCAGGGTCTCAACAGTGTCCCAGGGGCTATGTCCAGTCCCCTCACCAGAACCTCAGGACCCCTAGGTCATGGGCAAGGTTCTGAGATGAGGCCTAGGCAGCTGAGGTGTATGACAGCAAGGTGGTCCTGGGGTATAGGGGGAGAGGACCCAGGAGTGTAGCAAGGTGGAAGGGACCTGCCCCAGGGCAGTGCATGCTACTCTTCTCCCATGTCCTCTGTCCTCTCACAGGGATGGCCTTTTTGCCCAGAGTGACTACATTTTGTCAATCATTTGATCACTCATTTCGAGATGGGGAGGGGGGGTTGTTGTTGGGACCCAGAAATCAAAGCTGAGGGATCGGGGTTGATCCCAAGGGCTCCCTCCCATCCCCAGCAGATTTGCCAGGATGCTCTGATTTTGACAGAATGGAAATGGATGTTTGAGTGTCTGTGGTTTCTCACACCAGGTCCCTTTCCTGGTGTCCCTATGTGCTTGAGTCTTTACGTGCCTGGTGTCCTTGCATGTGCCTGTATTTTGGTCAGGAAATTGTTGGGCCTTTCTGCCCAGGAGAAGCTGCAGGGAAGCCTGTTCTTAGTCACATAAGGCCTCATAGGACGTCCCGAGGTGGGAGCTGCCACCTGTCATTAACTATCCAGGGGCAGAGTTGGGGCCCAGAGATGAGGGTGGCACATCCCGCCCCGTGTAGGAATGAGAGAAACAAGGGCCCCCTGTGCTGGGGTTGCACAGCCAGATGCTTCTCCCTGCCTCCTTCCTGCCCTGCCTTTTGCGTCCTGGTCAGAGTCCTGCTGCTTCAGCCCCATCCACCATGTCCTCCATGGGGCGGACTCAGCTCCACCACAGAGTAACAGGGTGAGCTCAGCGCAGTGTAAACACCCAACAAGTGAAGCATGATTTCAACACTGCACTTTACCACCCTGATCTGCTCCCCTACCTGGTGTGGGCCCCAGGATAGCGACAGAGGGATGCAGGTATTCAGGGAGGGAAAAGCCTTCTCCTAGATCCATCTCCAGCCCCACCCAGTCCCCTGCGTCCTCTAAGGAAAGCATCTATGGGCTGTTTCTGTCTGACACCCTGGTGCTGTCCTTGGAGACCTGGCGCTGGCCCTGTCCCTGTCAGTTCTGGGCCAGTAAGAGCTGGGGCCCTGCTCTCAGACCCCCCTACCCCCAACAAAAGGTGAAGACCTAGCCTTAGCTCTGCCAGCTCCTGGGTGCATTTCCCTCTGCTGTGCACACAGTAGGCGCTCAGTGTGTGTGAGATGGGTCACATGGGGGGATGTAAGCATCTGGACTGGGAAGGAGGAGCCTGGCTCCCCCTGGGGCTGGACAGACAGGGCACCCACCAACCCCAATGCTCATGTCCTCCAGCCACTCTCTCCCCCTGCTGGGCCGAGGTTCTCTCCCACTGACACGGTGATTCATTGTGTGGTATCATCTGCTACACAGAAACTTTTAAAAACCAGGACATATTCAGGACCAGCTCTGACTCCTTCCTTGCTCCCCTCCTCCAGTCCCCTTTCTCCAAAAATAACCCACTGGTCTCTGAGCTCCAGTTGGTCCACAATGGCTTCATCAGGGACTTGAGGTTCAGGTGGGACGGGAAACACTGGGGGTCATGGGCCATGGCTGAGACCCAGGACAGGCCCAGTCTGGAGGGAAAGAGCCCAGGAAGGGGACACGAGCAGCCCCTAGAGGCCTAGCTCAGGCCCAGCAGGGAGGAGGCTCTACCAGGGGAGAGACAGATCCCAGGGCCCGTGAGCCAGGAGTCAGGAGCTCAGTTGTGTCTATCCCGCCTTCCACACTGACTCCCGGCTTTGTGATGTGTGACTTTTTTGCTCCATGATACTAGGTGGCTTCCACCTCAAGATGTCCAGTGGACCTCAGTGGCCACGTATGTGACTAAGAATGGGCCTCGCAGGCAGCTTTTGGGGGCAGAAAGTGCACAGTTGTACCCTGCCCAAACACACAGACAGTGACACAGAGTGACAAAAGAAAAGAAAATGTTTATGGGCTATCTCAGAAACACCCACACCCAGAGGGCCACCTTAACTATGTTTGAAAGAGAAGATTTCATCATTTGCTGTGGAAGGTGAGCAGGGAGAACTTCGTCATTAACTGTCACCATTTCATTGAGATTTCAGGCTCTGACAACAGCTCAGCCCGCCGCCTAGATGCAAGTGACCAAAAAGCCACAAGATGTTATCACTCTGGGCAATGGGCCAACCTGGGAGAGGCCAGAGCACTTCACCCTGGTGAATGAGACCACACTGTGCTGCCCTGGGTCAGGTTCCAGGGGCCCTGTCCCCGTCCTCACAGAGCCCTGTCTCCTAAGCTCCTTCAGACCCCCTCAGCTCCCTAGGGCCTCACTTCAGAGTATCTGCAGTGACGTGAGAGCCTGACCAGTCCTGGAAGGAGACTGGACACAGCCTCTGGGACACTGCTGAGACCCTTGGCTGGGCACCTGCAGCCTGTCATCCTTCCCTGCTCTTGACTGGGCAGGGCACCTACAGAGCTGGCAGGACTGGGACCTTGTGAAGAGTGGCATGGACTCCAGATCCAAGTAGAACGTCCACTCTGGGTCACCTGCCCGAGGGACCCAGCACCCTGCCCAGGCTCCCTCTGGCCTGGTCTGTCCCTCTGACCAGTGCAGACTGCTGCTGGCTCTCAGCCTGTCTCCAGTTTTCCTTACAGAGGACCATATATGAGGGCGCAGCTTATGCCTGCTAAGAAAAGGAGGTAACTCTCCCTGAACCCATGCCCAATCCTGCACAGGGAACCAGGACACACAGGGCTCCCAGGTGGGGGCAAAGCTCTGAGGCGAGGCCCTGGAAAGATGGGGTTGGGGAGGGGTGCTAGCTGAGGGCTTGGGAGATGGAACCTGGGGATGGAGGATGAGAAGGGTCTACCTGGGACCTGCCCCAGGACAGCACAGATGGCATCTTTCTCCAGGGTAGGATCCCAGGTCCTCTTCCAGCTTGGTCACTTTGCCCAGAATGACTACACTTTGTAGCTTTTTGGTCACTTGCTTCTAGGGTGGGAGTGGGGCTGTTGTCAGAGCCCAGAAATCCAGACCAAAGAATCAAAGTTGATGTCCAAGTTCTCCCCTCACCCTTTCATCTGACGTGTTGAAGTGGGTGTCTGGGGGCTTCTGGGATACCTTGTGCAAGGTCCCCTCTTCTCATGTCACTGTGTATGTGTGTCTGGCCAGGACAGCATCAGGCACTTTCTGCCCCAAACAGCTGCCTGTGAAGCCCATTCTTAGTCACCTGTGTGGCCCCTGAGGTCCCACAGGACATCCTGAGATGGGAGCCACCTGGTGTCATGGAGCAAAAAAGTCACACATCACAGAGCCAGGAGCCAATGCGAAAGGCAGGACAGACACAGCTGAGCCTCAGCCATGACTCCTACTGCCCTGGGGTGAGTCTGTGCCCTTGACCTCCTGCCCTGGACTGAGCCCTCTTACCTGCTGGGGCCTCCTGGGCCTCCTGAGCCTGCTTTTCTCACCCTGTGCATGTCCTGGGCCCAGCCCTGGACCGGGCCCCTCTCTGAGCTCCCCCCCGTAACGGCCCTGGGTCTCAGCCATGGCCTCCTTTACCTCCCTCTCTAGCAGATATAATCAGGAAGGGTGGGAGGACAGGATCACCCCCAAAATCCCCCAGCTGTACATGTGTTTGCTCCCTAACACCAGTTGGCTCCCACCTCACAATGTCCTGTGGGACTTTAGGGGCTACATATGTGACTAAGAATAGGCTTCACAGGCAGCTGTTTAGGGCACAAAGTGCCTGCTGCTATCCTGGCCAGACGTACATGTGCGTGGCTCCTGTCCACTGTGGGACTCCGCTTTCTCTGTAATGATTGCAGGACCTGCTCCCTCCAAACAAGGCTGCTGTAGGGTTTGAACTCAGTTCCTCTCCCGTAAGACTTAGGGGGGGTTTCTTATCCCAGAGGGAAGTAGCGTGACCTCAGCCCACATGAAGATCTGCTACAGTAAGGAAAGATGTTTACAGCCTTGCTAGAGTTTATTTAAAATCCTTTATTCGTGACACATTTGTAGAGGACAAACATTAGGGAAGATAATTAATATTTCCTTTCATTGGGCTAGATATGAAAGAATTAAAAACAATCACTTCATGAGTAAACTGGAAATCATTCTGAGAGTATGGAGGATAATCGTACACTGTATACCTGAAACACAAGAGCAATTTTTAACTAAAAGTTATTTAACTAGAATTTTTTTAAAAAAACATTGCCAGCTCGGCGCCTGTGGCTCAAGTAGCTAAGGCGCCAGCCACATACACCTAAGGTGGCGGATTCGAATCCCCAGCCCGGGCCCGCCAAACAACAATAGTGGCTGCAACCAAGAAATGGCCAGGCGTTGTGGCAGGCACCTGTGGTCCCAGCTACTTGGGAGGCGGAGGCAGGAGACTCGCTTGAGCCCAGGAGTTGGAGGTTGCTGTGAGCGTGATGCCACAGCACTCTGCCCAGGGGGATAGCTTGAGGCTCCATCTCAAAAAAAAAAAAAAAAAACATTGCCCCTGAGCTCATTAGCTTTCCAGGTCCATGTGGGTCACCTAGACATGGGGACAGGTACTGAGCCTTTCTTGGAAGAAGGTGCTTCATTCTGCTGCTCAGCACAGGCCTCCTGCCTTCCTTGGAGACACTGAGGCCCATTCCTTAGTCTTCCTGAGGCTAGAAGGGCAGGAGAAATTGAATGGAGCAGGTGAGAGAGTGTGAAAGAAGACACAGAGAGGAGGTCTGGGGACAGTGACAAGGACAGGGATAGGAAGGAGGAACCCAAAGGGGGGTTGTAAGAAGGGAAGTGGGGGGAGCCGGATGTCCCTGGGGAGAGCAGTCCACCCTTAGGAGAATCTGAGCAGGGGGAGGGAAGGGCCCAGGGAGGGAGAGGGAGGGAGAGGGAGGGACCAGGCAGATGTGGCACCAGCCAGAGAGAGGAGGCCCCACCTGGAGGATGTCCTGCAGCTTCTTGCTCAGGGCCTGACTGTTCTTATCCAGCCCCTCCCAGGGCTGGAAGGGCCTTCCCCGATGGTCCACAAAGGTGTCCCAGCAGTGCTCAAACTCTGAGAAGGGATAAAGGAGAGGAGTCAAGCCCCTGCTGTGGGGAGGGGACCCAGCAAGCATGTATGACCCTGAGGGACAGACTGCATGTGGTCCTTCAGTGGCCTCCTTGTCATCCCTGCCCTGGGGACTTATCTGCTTCCTCAAACTCTCTCTTCCCATTGGCATCTGAGCCAGCCAGTCCTCATTCTTTCTGGAGGTCCCCAAGTCCTGCTTCACTTCCAGTCTTTCTCCCTGTCCCCTGGGACCACCTTTGTGTCCTGGATCCTCTTCCAATAGGCCCCTCCTGGGCCCCAGAGTGCAGGCAGCACCTCTGCAGACAGCAGACCTGGGCCTTCCACAGGGACGCTGACCCTTCCCTGCTTTCTGCCACCTTCCCAGGGGCCTCTCCGTGCCACCTCCCAAGGCTCCATGCTGACCTGCATGGGTCATGATGGCCATTTGGACCCCAGCATGCTGCAGGGTCTTCAGACCCTCCTCATGTCTAGTGCGCCAGTCATAGATGCGGGCAGCCAGGACTCGCAGGCTCACATGGCTGTTCTCCCTCAGGAATGCGGCCACTTCCTGGGCACAGCTGAAACAGGGGCTCCAGGAGATGAAGCAGGTGACCCTGTAGTGTTGGGCTGGGTCCAGCTGCCAAGACCTAATGAGGTCCAGGAAGCACAACTCTGCGTGACGGCCCTCAAAGCCATTTTGAAGATCTTTAGCCTAGTAAAGAAAGCAAAGTGTGAGTCACATGTCGTGACAATGGAGATTGGAGCCTCTAGCACACAATAAGAGGGGCACCCACACCTCAGTTATCCAGATGAATGAATTTTCACGCAATATTGAAAATACCAAGTTAATGCAAAATCCCAAGATGAATGAATATCATCCATGTAAACACAGACAGCCAGGACCAGTAACTGGTTTTTCCCGGCATCAGTACATTCTACAGAGCCCTGTCACTGTCTTTATTTAGAATGCTGGACTTGGCGCCCATAGCTCAGTAAGTAGGGCGCCAGCCACACACCAAGGCTGGTGGGTTCGAGCCCAGCCCAGGCCTGCTAAACGACAATGACAAGTATAACCAAAAAATAGCCAGGCGTTGTGGTGTATACCTGTAGTCCCAGCTACTCAGGAAGGTGAGGCAAGAGAATAGCTTAAGCCCAAGAGTTTTAGGTTGCTATGAGCTGTGATGCCACAGCACTCTACCCAGGCCCACATAGTGAGACTCTGTCTCAAAAAAAAAAAAAG